AGACAATAATTTCAAATGATAAAACTATGAAGAAAATAAAATGAGTTAGAGAAGGCTGGGGTGATAGTGACTACTGTGTACGGAGAGGGGTGGGGAAGTTCTCTTTGAGTGTGCATTCCAGCTGGGATGACTGAGGAAGAGACAACCATGCAAAGATTTAGGAGGACAATGTTGAAGGCAGAGGGAATAGCAAACGCAAAGCCCCTGAGGGTGGATTGTTTTAGGACATGCTATACTCCCCTAGGAGTCCTTAAAAACAAGCGTATGGTAGAACTAATAGTCACGTGGAATTATGTGATCTGTGAAGAAGGTACAGTTACAAACATGAGCAGCCACCCAGTCCCAACTGAATAGAATGGATTAAGATCCTTTCTATATCCAAGCTAATAATCTATTATCACCTCGCATCCACGAGGAGAACCAGGTTTGTGTGTCTCCAGGGGAGCCTGGAGAGTTATTCACTCAGTGAATAACTTAATATAGTGAGTTCTATTAAATTTTATACTTTGGCTCTTCCCACCATTTGAGGCAGTGTCCAGAGGAATGTAGGGTTGGAAGAGTTTTGTTCACATGCCCTCCGCTGCTCTCGATCTCCACTTCCTTTCTTACTCTCTACAGAGGCAGCTGTGACATCCTACAAGGATAAGGAGATGATGTATATCTTCTACCACCCACTTAGAAATACTTTGGTGTCATTGGCCACAGTTGTTTTTCTCTCATCCCCACCCCCATCTCTAGCCCTGCCTATCCAGCGTGAGAACATGGAAACTCATTTTGGGAAATGTGATCTAAGTGGTCCCCAAAGTTAACATTGCTTATCCCTGGGTGGTTATATTAAGGGTGAATTTTTTTCATTGTATTCTGCTGTGTTTGATTGTTTTTTGCAAGACATATAAAAAGTTATAGCTTTCTTATTTTTAAAAGATATGTTGTCTCATAGAACTAGATATAATCAGAAATGACCTTTATTTTTTCCAGTGACTATATCAGTCCCTAGTTGTTACATGCTAAAAAAGGGGCATTTATGACCTGAGATGACTGAGTAGCTGTGGTTTATACAGGTGTTCCTCATTGAGACAAACAGCATAGGTGAAAATCTTATAAAAGAGATAAAATGGTGGTGAGTTGGTAGGAATTCCTCTTTACTTTATTTTCTTTATTTTAAAGCATTCTTCAGAGAACTATTTTCAGTAGCAAAGATGTCACAGTGCATTTAAAATAAATTTGATTCAGTCACAAATGTTAAGGACATCTCTAGCACAAAGGGCATTAAGCTCGCTGGGTGTAGCAGGGGATAGGGATAAGATAAACAGTTTGAAAAAGGATGTGATATCACTCTTCTCTTTAGGAAAGCATTTCTTTGTCTTAGAGTTAGAGCTCCAGGCGGAGGAAATGGGAAGGCGGGGAGAACATGGACAGGTTCCAGAGGAGATGATGGGTCATGGAGAATGAATGAGTCAACCGGCATCAGAGGGCGTGTAGTGAGGGGTTGGGGAAGACGGAAGAAAGGAAGCAGTGGGGCCTTTGAACGCCCTCACTCCCACACCCATGTACACACACCAGGCTCTTAGGGGACATGAACAATCCTAGTGTCCTAAAAGAGTGACTGTGTTCCCCAAGCAACCAATCACTGCCAGAAACCGGCTTGGCTCTGGGGGAGAGTCTGACACACTAAAGTCAGAGGTGATGAAAGTCGAAGCATCACCCCAGTAGACGAGCGTTGTAAATTATCAGCATTTTGGTCTTCTGTTTACAAAGGTTGGGAAGGAAACAAGAAATCGCTTCTTGAAGGAAGAATTGCAAAGAAAGCTGATGGCATTTCATTGTAGAAAAACAAGTAGTTACCTCTGTTGAGATAGAATTATCTCAAAAAACCTTTTTTAGTTATTTTAAGGTATCCCAGAAGTCTCTCTACCTCATCTGTCTGAGGTATTTTAATTTCCCAGTGGACACAGATGGGAGAAGGACCATTGTTTCTGTGAACATCTACTTCTGCATCTCAGGCCTCTGGCATATACACCTGACATTTGCCCGTCTTTCATCATATCTCATTCCTCATTTTACATTCCCAGTATTAAAAATTCCTTGAATTTATGTAACACTTGATATTCTAAAGATCTTAAAATTTTTTACAGGAATTTCTTACTTAATGCTTATGCACTTTTAATTCAACAAATGGAAACATTCATATGCCAATATATAGTAATTAAATCTTATGTACCCACATGAAACAAATAAATGGACAAAATAAGAATATTACCTTATTCCTTCTCAAATTAATGTTCTATCTTTTTGACATTGCTACTTCTGAAGTAAATCAAAAATGCTTGGAAATAAAATAAAAAGACTTTGATTTTGCCATCCTTACAGCTTCTAGAGTGATCTGTTAAACCATATATGGGATTATGTTACTCCTATAACTAGAAGGTCTTCCCATTGAAGGAAAAAAAAAACCCAACAACTTCATTATAGCCAAAAGCATCTGTGTGATCTGGCCTCTGCCTGTCTCACCCACACTAGGGTGGTCACCAGACACCTTGGTTTACACCTAATTGTTTTAAAGTAATTAAGAATGCATTCTGTTACTCTCAAAAATATTATTTGATAATAGGTGGTCACTCAACTCCAACCTCATTTCTTTTTTTTTTTTTTTTGTGAGGAAGATCAGCCCTGAGCTAACATCCATGCCAATCCTCCTCTTTTTTGCTGAGGAAGACCGGCCCTAGCTAACATCTATTGCCAATCCTCCTCCTTTTTTTCCCTTTTCCTCCCCAAAGCCCCAGTAGATAGTTGTATGATGTAGTTGCACATCCTGCTAGTTGCTGTATGTGCGACGCCGCCTCAGCATGGCGGGACAAGCAGTGCGTTGGCACGCACCTGGATCCGAACCCGGGCCACCAGTAGCGGAGCGCGCGCGCACTTAACTGCTAAGCCACAGGGCCGGCCCCTCCAACGTCATTTCTTTGCCCCTTAGGGTCATTGCCCAGGACATCTCTCCCACCTAGAACACATTTCTCCTCCCCTTCATGTGGTTAACATTTAGGCATCTTCCAAATCTACTCAAACTCACTTCTGCACACCCCAATATAAATCACTTAGTCTCTTTCATTACGTTTTTCTTGCTCATGTCACAATTTGTGATGGTACGTTTACATATATGTTTATTTCTTTAGTATTTGTCTTTTCCACAGGACTCTGAGGCAGGGACAGGACTGGTATTCAGTTGGTTCTCACTACTATGGCCTGCAAGGACTGCTGTGTATCTGATTTTTCCACCATGGATACCCAGTGCTGGGAACAGAGTAGGCCTCAATACATTTCTTCAATAAATAAAAGAATGACAAAATCATAGCTTGCCCTCTGAAATCAATTTTCGTGAATTCAATTATACAGCCTCATTGAACTCTGACTCTTTGTAAGGCATGAACAGAGTGGTTCAAGAACCATCAGCATCAGCATCAGCTGGTGCTTGATAGAAAGACTGAATCTCAGGTCCAAACCTGCTGAATCACAGCCTGCTGTTTAACAAGATACCCAAGTGAGTCCAATGCACATGAAAGTCTAAATGCAGTAACTTAGTGCACATTTATGTAATAGGCATGGAAAAATAAGAAGCTAAATTACTACTCACACTTCCTTCACTTTTAAGCAAACTTCATGGTTTACTATATAGGGCAATTCCTATTTAAACACAGGTGAAAATTTTGTCAATTATTCTAAAATTCTTAAATGCTATCCCTGGTCTTTCTTGTAAATCATATAACAAAACAGATAATTCTGTTAGAAAGTTTCTGATTTCCTGTCTTGACATGTTGTCCTAATCTAAGCAAGAATAGTCAGATTTGAGGTCTAATCTAAAATAAACATAAAAGTACACAGAGTATTGAAATTCTACAATGGTTTTAAAATAAGTAAAATTATCTTACTAAAAAAATACTAGAAATTAAAAGTAAAATCATAGTGATACATAATAAACTCATTTAGGTTGATGACTCACATGTCATTTATGCGTGTCTCCAAGGCCCACTGAACTAGCACATAAAAAGAACTTTTGCCTTTTACTTAATTCAACAGAGTCAGTTGATTTCTTGTTAATCAAGATTTTGAAACGTCAACTGAGGTTTACTTTAGAATAAACAAGGACAATTGAGGAGGACCCAGGCCAACATCCGGAATGTTGTGATCAAATGAACTTTGACTCAAAGCAAATAATGTTACGAATTCCATAGCTGATCTGGCATTCTCATTGACTCGGCAGCTTTCTCTATCAGGCTGAATGCCATAAAGAAGGCAAAGAGAGCAAACTCATTCGTACATGCCAAGGCATGTTTAAGCTTAACATTTAGCATGCTAGGTAGCTGCTGAATACAAATCTTGCATATTAGGCCAATCTTAATATATATAGTTATCATTGTACTCCTTAAAATTTTTTGACTCAGAGTATTGAAGAAATAGGGTAAGGTACTAATTTGTCTTATAACGTCCCAAACCCAGAACCTAAAAACACAAGGACCTCCATGGATTACTAAACTGAGTATTTGATTGCAGTGTCTGTTGATGCTTTAGCTTACTTCCATTAGATGCTGTAAATACCCAAATGCACAGAGAAGAAGAACTAAGTTTCAACGAATGTAAATTCAAGACATTCCCCAAGTATAGAAGTGTCCAAGGCTTCTGGAAGGAACAAGAGACCCGTGGGAGGCTACAATATTGCCAAGGCAATACAGTGTAGATGTAAAGGCATAGGCTTTGGAGTCAACAGGATTGGATGCAAATCCTGGTGCCCATCATTTGTACTAAGCCTCATCTGTGAGTAAACCATAATAATTACTTCAGAAAGATTTTAAAGGATTAGATCAAATCAACAGATAATGCATAAGAGTTGCTATTAACAATGAAAATAGGACTATAGAATTAAAACAAAATATTAAAAACATTAAGCTTTCTGGGAACTTCAAAAGAACTCACTATGGTGTAAGATAGTTATATAATTTTTTTTCCTGTTACATAAATTAACCCATTTATTGTAGGTTAGCAACGTTTCAAATGGTGAAGCTTCTACCGCTCTTTTGATTCCTTCAGGCTTCTGATGGCGAACTTCACTGTGAAGGCAGAAGTGGTGTTGCAGGTCCAGGCACCACCTGCTACCGTTTTCATGCAGGAACCACAGTGCCAGATCCCCACAGCTCATCTCTTCATCAGTTTTGCTACAGAATGAGCAAGTGTACTTGGTGTGCTGGCTGATTTCAATTTTCTTCACCATTTTCCTGAGGGAGGCACCATAATGGGTCCCACATTTACAGACAATTCCAACCTTCTTGGCGCTTTTAGCCATGTCACCTCAAACTAGGTCCAAGCCCAGAGAGCTAAAATAGCTATATCTTAAAACCGCTCTTACCAGAGGTTAGCTTTAGACAGTTCATTCATTCATTCAATTGTATTGATTGAGAGTCCACACTGCATTGTGCCAATTACTAAGGACACAAAAAGAAAACAAAGGTTTTGTGAAAAGGAACTTGAAATTTAGTAGAGAGAAGATTTTTTTAAAACAATAGTCATACAAAAACTATATGAATTGTGATAAATATTATGGAAGAAAATCATAGAATGCTATCAGAAAATACATCAAGAAGAATTCACTTAAATCACAAGGTCAGGAAAGGCTTCTGAGAAAAAGTGGCATTTCACCTAAGACTCGAATAACAAGTGGGACCTTGCCAAGGCAAGGGGGTAGGGGAGCAGTCCAGGTACAGAGGTCAACAGAGAGGTAGCTTTGAGTTTGGCCGAGTTTGCACTACTGGAAGAGCCAATCAGGCAAAGAGTGGTGGGAATCCAGATGAGGCTGGACCATGCAAAGCCCTGGGGGTCTTTTACCCTGAACCCAGTGGGCTGCCATTGAAGAATTTTAAGCAGAAGAATGATGTAGTCTGATCACCCTGTCTTCAACATGGAGGATGAATTCGAATGTGACAATAGTGGAAGCAGGGAGATCAGTTTATTAGAACAGTGTCTTAAAACCTTGGAACATAAATTTACCTTTAGCACATTCTTTGTGTAGGCAGCTTTGCTGAAGCATGAGAAGCATTAGGGTTTTACAAGCTCACATTCCGGTTTCCTTTTAGACCATTTTAAAACACGTGTTCACTAAGAGATTAACTAACAACCGTGTATTTTGGCTCATTCACTTCCAACAAAGATTTATTAAGATTTCTCATGTGCCACTTACTGTCTTACGCACTGGGAATAGAGTGGTGAACAAAAGACAAGAAGACATTGCTCTCATCAGTTCTTACATTCTAGTGGAGGAAGAACTTAAACAAGTAAACAAATAAATATATAACATATAGTATCATAACACCTATGAAGAAAAATAAATCCAAGTGAGAGCATAGAGAGTAAGGGAGGGTGGTACAATCTTAGGATGGTCGGGAAGATCTCTCAGATAAAGTGATTTTTTTTAGCACAAGTGAAGAGTAGGCCTTTTAAAATCTAGAAAACAATCATTTCAGGCAGAGGGAACATAAGTGCAAAGACACTAGGCTAAGTGTTGTGCTTAATATTTTCAAGAAACGGCCTGGAATTTTGGTCGAAATTAATGCGATTCTGTCATCACCACCACCACCACCAGCATTATCATCATCATCATTGTCATGTAACTGTAGAAAAGCTTCCTAGAGTCTTCATAGGACATGTTATTGATTTAGCTCCATGAGAGACAGTCTCACATTAGGCAGAACTTAGAGCTCAGTGAAAGTCTAAATTTTTAAGTACTCCTAGATTTTATAACACTTTGGTTTTAAAAGTTAGGAAAAGAAATCATTTTAAGACAGATATTTTCAGTCTTCAGAATGAGTAAGAATCAACTGAGGCACTTAGTAAAAATGCCCATTCCTGTGTCAAGATTTTGATTTATTAAATCTAAAGTAGAGCCCAGGAATCCACAAGTGTGACAGACATCCCAGATGATTTCTTGATGCAAGTGGTCCGAGGACTGTGCTTTGAAAAATGTCATTTTAATGCCTTTTTAGTGATTGAGATCTCACAACTATTACAGTTTCCACCATTGCACATCTGTGCTGAAACTCAATAATGAGGGTCTAACATATCATTCTCCAAATGGCAAAAGTGACAGACACAACAAGAAGAACCAACCTTAATGAAAAACCATCTGATATATGGAAATTGATGGAGAAGTGAAACCAATGAGCTCAAATTCACCGGCACTTGAAGTACAAGGCTGATGACACATTAATAATTTTCTTCAATGTTACTTTTCTAATTGGCCTCAATGACAAATCTTTTCTACTAATATAACTTAAGGGGAAATTCTTTAAATAGACATTATTTACAAAAAGTCTGGTATCTGGCATTCCTAGGGAATAATGTTATAGTTAATTAAGATATGCCAACCACGACTTACGTAGCACTGTTAATTTTCAAGTACTAGAGTATACAAATACAGTTGTGTGTCGCTTAGCAACTGGGATACATTCTGAGAAATGTGTCATTAAGAGATTTTATTTTTGTGTGAACATCATAGAGTGTACTGAAAGGAAATAAAATTTGCCTACCCACAACATGTCTCTTTACCATGAGCGTTATTTTATGCTGATTATTTTTAAGAAACAAAACACTCAGAAAGTTTTTCTTCTTATCTCCCCCTTAACTGCCTAAAAGAATTCAGATTAAAAAACCTGTCTCAGGACCTTAGCATAATGTGAACTAGATGGTAGACAGGGAGGAAGCTAGAAAAGCCTGTTTGTTGGGCTCCCCTCTGTGTTCTTCTGTTTCTGTGTGGCCAAACACTTGTTTTCCAAATGTTTGCTCCTTTGCACCCATCTGTGAATTTCCTTCCTCCCCTTTGAAGTCTCAAACCACTACCCACAACAGCCTCTTTGGTCTTTAGCTGAGGATGGTATTTAGGATGAGGGCTTTGGCCATTTTGGTGAATTACTCGATTTTCCTGGGTTTCTCCCGGGTACACATGTTATTAAACTTTTGTTTTTCTCCTGTTAATCTGTCTCATGTCAATTTAATTCTTAGACCAGTCAGAAGAACCTAGAAGGGTAGAGGAAAATTTCTTCCTCCTCTACAGTACTTACACAAACCTAGACGGTTTAGCCTACTACACACCTCAGCTATATGGTACTAATCTTATGGGACCACCATCATACACACGTTCCTTTCTTGACTGAAATGTTGTTACGTGATGCATGACTGTATGCGTGGTCTTTAAATAATTCTTCACAACATTTCAATATCCCAGTGTTATAATAATGCATAAGAACTATGTACTGGAAATTTTCAGAAGTACCAATTAATAGAGAATTCTGATTAATAAAATGGTGGGTAATAGAAAACTGATATCACTGTATTTCTTCATTCAAATATTAATATTTGCAACATGGAAAGGTTGTGCTTTCAATAAAATTTCCCTTGCCTTTATATCAAGTATCAATTGATATGTTCATTTTACTTAATTACTTGGTAGTAACAAAAGTCTCCTCTAGACAACCTTCATGCCAAGATGATTATATCCTGTTAGTCAGTTTCCAATCTTTAAAAGTAGTCACTGGATCATCATCCTGTTTTGCCTTAGAAAAGGAAAGTGATACCTAATATGGGTCAGCTGTTTGGATATGTAGTGTTTTTTTTTTCTTCCCTAGTAATTAGCTCTTTTTATTATCTCATTTCAAAAGAGTAATAAGGTACTGGGAGACATCTACTGTTTTTGAAAACATAAACCTGAGATTAGCATTTGTAGAAACATAGCAAGGGATATTAACAAAGTAAACAGTAATTTTAGATCAGACTCTGAGATTCTGAACTTCAAGTGATTTGCCACTCTTTATGTGAATTTTTTTCAAGGGCTTTTAAAAATAATTACAATTATTATGATAAATAATTTTAGTTGGAAGTTGAACTTGAAAGTAGACTAATATTTTTCCATCTGTGTATATCACTTTTATATTTGAACTCAAAACTCAAAGTAACTCTTCTTCCCATCCCCACCTCCACACCTCAGATCCCAGTATAATGGTAATTTAATCAGATATTTGCACGAATATTATCTTGGCTCAGTGTTAAACACAAACAGTTTTTTGAACAGAATCACAGCCATTGTTCCATTAGGCCTGTAAGCCTCCTAAAAGACATTTTGATCACAAAATCCAATGAGCTTGAATTCTAAAATCCAAAGCAGAATTTTAATAGCTGCAGGCAAATTTGTTTTTGGCCAAACCTCACCCTGCCCACCCTGCAGTTTAGGTGCCAGTGCATCAGAATGTAACTCTGAGTAAAGTAGGGGCATTTATGATTTTGCTTCCTCCTTCCCAAAGGCACTGTTGAAATCTGAAGGGCCAGTAAGTCTGATTCTCAAATCTCCTGTCTTCAGATCACGTTATAGCCCCATCCACCTCTCTGATGACACCCCATTTCCCTTGAAAGGAGAGTACAGAACTTAGTCTTTGCTTAAAAGGATGATAAAAAAGCATCTGATACTAGAGCTGTTTGGGAGAGGGAGAGTTTATATTAACAGCAGGCCTTTTGAGGCTCTGCTTAATCACTTCTTCAATTTCATATAACCTAAGGAAAAGCCACCCTTATTCTCCTCAGAGTTGTCAGTGGGAGATCATTACGCATGCATACATACATATAATTTTATTTTAATTGAATATTAAATGTGTTCTCATGCCAAGACATTTCCTTGGCACGTATATCTGATTTTAACATTGCAGCTGTAAATCACCAGTTCGAATAGAAACCTCAGGTACAGTCCTTCCAGTGGAGAAATTAAACAGAGATTACATGGCAACCTGAAGCATTGGTGTCATCTGTTAAGATTCCAGTTTCTGTTCTAAGCATTGCTAATACATTGCTTTGGTTGTGCTTTTTAAGTCCCCTGCGTGAGGAATTTCGAAGTAATAGGAAGTTGTTCATTTAATGTGATAGAAGGATTGCAACAGTTCGAGACAGGATGGTTCTTGACTGCCTGTTAGCAAAGGAAAAGGCACGTGTCTCCTGAGTTTTTTGGCTTGTGCCAGTCCGGAGCTCTGCTGAGGCGTGTCAGCACTGATGCGAGGCATATGGGGTAGTCCTGGAGCTTGAAATCTTAGTGTTTCCTTCCTTCCCTGGAGTGTAAGCTCCAAGAAAACAGGAGCTGTGAACATATGATTCATTATATCTAGAAGGCCTAGAAAAAGGCAGGCACAGAAGATGTGCACGATAGTATTCATTAAAGCAAATGGAATTATCCAATCATTTATTCAAGAGAAATTTATTGAACACTTACCAAGTAAAACATTTATCGAACACGTGTGTGGATTACAGAGATAAATAAGATACAGATGTTAACCTTA